GTCCTGAGTTTGATCCCTGGTACCAAAAAAAAAAAAAAAAAAAGAACATATACAGAAGGGGGGGATCAAAGTCCACCTAGCTGGTGCTGAACACTAGTAACCAGGCCTTCTGTTACACGAAGCCAAGCATTAATGGCTTTAGGTAGATCATCTTGTTAATCCTCACAACAATCATAGGAGGAAAATAATCTCATTACACTCATTTTATAGGTGAGGAAACTAAGTCTCAGAGAGATTAATTCTCCTAAATCCATACAACCAAGTGGTTAAAAAAAAGACAAAGAAAACAAAAAAAAGAATTTAAAAAGAACATTTAATTCCAGAGATTAGTACATAGCTACTAATTCCTCCAAGGGGGGGTGATGGTCCCTTGACAACTGTAACAAGTAATATAGTACATACTTATTGAGAAAAAATTAGAAAGTACAGTTAAAGTCGAAGGTGGAAAACAAAAAGTTTCAGAATTAGTCTTGATAATCAAGACTAATTATTTTCATGATTAGTATTCATTAAACACATTTAATATAAAAATGATGCACTTTTGTCATACAAAATATCATACTGTTTTAGTAGTTGATTTTTCTACCCACTGATATATTCTCTATATTCTTCACCAATATATTCTGCAGTCAAAAAGAATGATTCTGCAACAGTTGTTCTCAAATCTTAGCTGAGAATCATTTTATACTCTTAAAAATTATTAGGGACCTCAAATATCTATGTAGATTATATCTATCAATGTTTACTACATTATAAATTAAAATAGAAAATTGAGAAGTATTTATCAACTCATAATAAAACCCAATATATATGTTAACATAGGATTTTAAAATGAAAACTAACTTCTCAAAACAAAAAGTATCAAAAATTCTGACAGTGTTTTACACTTTTGCAAATCTCATTAAGGTCTGATCTAGTATATGTGTTGCTGGAACGAGCACCTAAGGTCTGGTTTAATAGGAGAGCTGGGTTATCCATTAATAATTATCCATTATTTCTTCACTTAATCTACTGCAATGTGTTGTTTTGGTTGAAGTATCTGAAGAACATCTGGCCTCACATAGACTCCTTGGCTTAAAAGAAATACTTTTAAATTATTCAATTTGTAAACAATTTAAAACAACACAGATGAAGCTCAAGTAGTTTTTTATCCTTTTTCTCCTCTAATCTGCTTCTGACCTTCACAACTATTAGTTTGCTTTCTCCCCTTTCAGATGTATCCCTTTGCACTGAATGCATGTGTAAACGTAGTTTGCGGCAACCTGGTTTTTCCCTTCATTTTTATATTTTACGTGAACCTACCTTGTTCTTTTCGAGAACTACATGGTATTCCATAACGCGGATAACCGTACTGTACTGTTCCTCTCTCTACTGATGAATAGGTTGCCAGTATTTTATTATTTCAGTCTCTCCCCGAATAGAGCTGGGGCTTGAGCTTCTTTGTTCGCATTGTGCAGGTCTCCCTGACTGGACCCCTAAATAAGGAAGAGCTGTCATTACAGTACTTTCTTTTTTGCAGGCTCTGGAGAACTACTGCTGGGACTCCGGGGGAAAAAAACAAACACCCTCAGGCCTACAAACGTCCGGCTAGGGCAGGTTCTCAGCATCTCACAGCCTCCTTCTTTCATAATGGACACTGTATTTGTTTTTCTACCTAGTAGACGCCAACAGATCCCCAACCGATACCTGACATCCACTCAGCCACCAGACACCGCGACTACCGGGAGACGAAAACGCGGCCGGCCGCTCGGGTCCTGACGCGCGCTTCCGGGAAGCGGACCGGAAGCTGCTCCGCGCTTGTGCGTCAGACCCGACCTCAGGGGCCGTCGTAAAAGTGTCGCCTCGCGACGCTCCGACAGGCCACAGGTTTCCTCTTGGCTCTGGCGGGGGTCGAGAGCCGCTGGCACTAATCTCCCTTAAGATGGCGGACGACGAGGCCGAAGGTGCGGAGAGGATGGAAGTCAGCACCGAGTTGCCCCCAAACCCTGAGCGACAGGCATCAGTAAGTCTCGCGGGCAGGTCCCTGTGGTCCCCCAGTGCGTCCCTGCCCGGCTTAGGAGGACGGGGCTTCTCCGGTCAGGGCGGCTCTGAGGAGGGGCGTCATAGATTGATCTGGAAGGAAGCCGCCGCTAGGAAGTTAGCCGTCACCCGCTTTGCTGCTGGGCGAGTCTACGGGATTTAATGACTATCGTTTATTAGTCTGGTCGAGCCCGAACACGTCTGTGTCTGTGTGGCGGCCGGCTGTGCGATCCGAGGCGGGCTTGGAGAGCCATTTTCCTGCCGGGCACGCAGCGCCAGCTCCTCCGGATGACAGGGATCCGGGACGCGGTGCGAGGAGCCGGGAAGCGCGGCTTAGGTGGGACCTGATTGTGGCGCGGAGGGTCGCCACCGTCACGTCCTGTCCAGATGTGGGGTGTAGAGACCGTGGTCCTTCGGTGTAACATCTTGAGAACCTTAGGCCTCACCCTCAATGGAAAACTCCGCCAGCTGTCGCTGGCTTTTTGAAGGGTGAAGAATGAACTGCTAGAGGTTTCCAGTCAGAACAGTACCATTACTTAGTATCGAGATCTATACTTTGCTCTTGTGTTTTGAAAGAATGGGAAGGCAGCGATCAGTGAGTAAATTTGAGGCAGTAGTCTGGCTACAGGGAAGAGACTGACTGAGGAAGAGCGATGGAGACAGTGTCAGGGAAGGCTCCAGACGCCCCCCACCCCCGTGCCGCATCTGCTGGGCAAATATGTAGGAAAGACTCAAATATGGTTTGCGGCACGATGTATCAGTTTGTCATTATAGCTGTACACAGAACGAGTTCGGGGTATACATACCTTAATGAAGTTGAGTCGATTTGTAGCTTAAAGCATTCTTGAAGTATTTTTAACCCTGCAGACGCTTGAGCATTGTTTTATGAGACAGCAGAATAATCAGTGGAAATGAGGCAACCACAGGATCGGAGAGATTGCCTGGGAGGTAGAAAGCGGTAGGGACAGTTGTGGTAGGTGAGTGCTTGGAACCTTCCTGCACCCCAAAGAAGTTCAAACTCACTTCAGTACAGGTAGCAAAGGATGAAAAACCCTTCACTAAGAGGTTAAGGAGCGAGAAGAAAGGAAAAGTTAGAAGCAGCTGACACCTTTTGTGAACTCAAGGCATTGGGGATCTAGGGAGAGTCTTGAGCTACATCATAACTCTGAAACATTCCTTAATGTAAGCCCAGCTGCTCACTCGGAAGGCTGAAGTTAAGAGTATCACCTGAGCCCAAGAGTTCCAGGCTAGCCTTGTCAGCGTAGCAAAACCCTGTCTCAAAAACAAATAAATGAGGGGCCGGGGATTTAGCTCAGTGCCGCCGGGCCTGCCTTGCAAGCGCGAGGTACTGAGTTTGATCCCCGGTACCAAGAAAAAAAAAAAAGTCGCGTGTGATTTTTACCTGTTAGGAGTGGAGAAATGGTGCTGTAGTCAGAAGAGTCGCCATTATATATTACCAATGATGATTAATATTTATTTAAACTTTCATATATTAATTCCTCCAAGATGGTATAGTAAAAGTTCATCAGTCTAATTTGGAATTGAAGATAATGGTACAGGAATTGCTAGGACTTATGGGGCAACTCTTTACTCTTTAAAATATAATAGATTTCTTTGGGCAAGGCTTTGGACTTTGCAAAGTAGTGGGTAGATAATGTAACATAACCTCAGGGTAATTCACAATCTGGTGACAGAGATAATATAAGTGCTTTAAGAATTTAAATTCAAGATAGTGATATAAGTGGATAAAGACCCATGACTGTTAAGCCTCAAAACCACTTTTTTTTGTTTTGTTTTGTTTCCCCCATCCCTTTCCTTCGGTACAGGTAATTGATTTCAGAGCCTCATACTAGGCAAGTACTCCATCACTGAGCTACATCTCCATCTCCAGCCCCCCCCCCCCTTTTTTATTCCGGTGTTTTGAGACAGGATCTCACTATGTAGTTCAGGCTGACCTTGAACTAACTATGTAGTCCAGGCTGGCTTTGAACTCATGGCAATCCTCCTGCCTCAGCCTTCTTAGTGCTGGGGTTACAGAGATGCACCACTATGCCTGCCTACCAGGCACATCTAACCCCCTGCCCTTATTTTTGAGACAGGGTCTCATTGTGTCATTCAGGTTACCCTCGAACTTGGCAGTCCTCCTTCTCCAAACTCCTAAGTAGCTGGGATTACAGGGACATGTCATTGTAACCAGCTTGTCTTGAATCTTTCTACTTGACCCCAGAGATCACCTTCCTTTTCATTTTAAAGCTACTATTTTCAGTTTTATTCTACCAGTGGGATAAGATATTGGCTTCCCAGTTTACTGCTTCTTTGCTGTTAAAACAAGCTTAAGTTTTAGTTTTTTTAAAATTTGAATGATTAGTATTTTAAATCACCATTGGAGGCAGAGGAAAACAAAAATAATAAGTATGAGACAGTTACAAAGGTTTAGGAGCTCTTACCACATTCATTAGAGTCATATCCCTTGTTATGGTTTCTGGGTTTATCCTACTTAGACCCCAGGTCAGTTTTTGTCAGATTGCTATTAGTAATATCACTTAACATGCAATTAGAATGAAACAATAATTATAAGTTACTGGGCATTTATAAAAGCCATTGCTTGAGAATCACCCCAGGGACCTCAGCTCTGTGGTTAGATACAAGAATATACATTTTCAAAAGCATACCCTGCTGATTCTGAAATCCTGCTCTGTGGGCCACATTTTGAGTAACACTTAGCTAGACATTTGGAAGTTACTGGTATAGAATTGACACCTGAGGTTGTAGAGATGGGTAAGACCTTGGAGGGGGAGGGGGAGGAGGGTAGCATTTGGAAATGGACCAGCCTAGACTATAAGAATAGTGCAGTGTCATAGAGAGTAGTTTTGCAGAAAGGGTGGTTAGTTGGGTCTGTGATGAGGACAGAGAAAAATTGGGAGTCCAAAGGATATTTAAAGAGGCCTCCCAGAATATTTGCCGTATTTGACAGGATTTTCTTCCTTAAACATTTTTCTTTTACTTTTCTGTACACTCTCCCTAGGTCAGTGGTGGTGAATTTATGGCATGCATGCCAGAGAAGGCTGTTTATATCATTGAAAGCCCTAAAATGTTCACCATGACTGGTCTAGATGATTTCATCCATTTCTGTTGCTTTGAATACCATCTGTATGTCTTCATTTCCTAATTTTATATCTCTGGATCATCTGACTTCTGAGCACCAGAATCATAAATTCACCTTGCCTATGTGACATCTCTACTTGCATATCTGATAGGTATTTCAAACAGGGGAACCAATTAGGAAGTTACTTTGGTAACCCAAGCCATAGTGGATAGTAGCTTGGACTGGAGAGATTGTTACTGGAGATGAATTTGAGAGAGTTTGGAAATATGGTAGAAACAAAAAGACTTGCTGATGGATTAAGTGTGAGGGACATAGGAAGAAAGAGATGATATCTTGATCCCCAATTTTTGGCTTAAGCATTAATGGCAGTGGTTGTGTCATGTACCGAGAGGAAGGAGGACCAGGTTTTAGGAGGAGAAAGGAGGAAGGCAGGTCAGGAAATTTGTTATCCTTACCTCAGTAGATGGCACCTCCGCAATAGCTCTTGAATACCAGTATCACCTTGTCTCCTCTCCATCTCTGTAATGTAAGCCACCATCTATTGCTTGGACAATTTCATTCGCTTCTTAACGGGTTTTTCTTCTACTGTTGCCATCTTCCAGTCCATTCTTCACAGAGCAAGCAGTGTAATCTTTTTCAGACCAAATCAGATCATATCACATCAGTCTCTTACTTAAATCCTTCAATAGCTTCTCATTGTATTTGTGGTAAAGTCTAACCTCATTTCAGTCCTTGTAAAACTTTGCTTGGTCCAGCCCTCTGCACCTCTACTTCATTTTCTTTCTCTTCACTCACTTTTAGCTACTTTGTCTTCTTTTTGGTACCGGGAATTGAACTCGGAACCTTGTGCTTGTGACGCAGGCAGCGGAACCACTGAGCTAAATCCCTGGCCCACTTTGTTTTATTTCTAAAATAAGTCCAGGCTCTATCTTGCTTCAAGCCTGTGCTTTTCCTTGCTGTTAGTGTGAAATGTTTTTTTAAATGCCTTTCTTCATTGCGTGTGTGTGTGTGTGTGTGTGTGCGCGCGCGCGCGTGCGCGCATGTATGGTGCCAGGAATCCAAGTGAGGGCCTCACACACAGTAGGCAAACCTTCTACTGAAGTACTGAACTACATCCTAGTTCTGCTTTTTCTTGATACATTCCCTGTCTAAGATGTAGGTTCCTCTTATTTTCTGTCAAAGGACCCTGTTTATTTCCTCTCCTGCATTTATTATAATCTGTAATTACTGTATCATTTTCTTTTTGTTTTTTTCTTTTTTGGGGGCTGCAGTTTTTTTTAACTGTTTTCTTCTTTGGACATATTTGTCATGTATATTGGTCACAGTCATTGCAGGGAATTTGTACCTGTACATAATATATCTTCATTCTTTTTAACCAGCTCCTCTTCCCTTGTTTCATTTCTTCTTCCCCTCCCATTTACAAAAGCTTTGAGTGTTTTTCCCTTCTATTCTCTTTTTTTTCTTTTCTCTTCTCCCTACCCTCTCCCTTGTTCCCCTTCCCATTTGAACATGTTCTTCCTATTTCCCTATACCTATCCTGCATTATGCTCATTTACCCTTTGGGTTTCTCATACAAGAGAAACAATGCAGTATTTAAACCTGTATGTCCGATTTATTTCACTTAAGATTATGATCTCGAGGTAC